GATAATTTGCAATTTACATTTCCATGTCATTATCCCGTCGTTCCAAATTTATCGGTCGGTTCGACCCGCAAGGTGGCGATCAAGAATCGGACATAATTCATATGTTACTCTCATTCGAATAGAAAAGAAATTCATGAATAGCGGTTAGCTCTGCAGCGATTGATCGTCGCAACGAGTTGGCGGAGAACCTCTCCTTTTTTTAAACCAAGCCTTGGATTTATCGGTGTAAAAAAACACTGTTAAAGCTCGGGTAGTAGTTCCAGTGTCAATTGGAAGTGCCAGCGTTCGCGGGGCGTTTTCGGCGTTGCGAAGAACATTACGGAATAATAAAGTTCGCCGGAATAATCAAACGCGTTACTAACAGACGATGAATCCCGCGACGGCGGCGAGTGAAATTTCCATAATAATTGCTGGCTGAAACCGGGAATTCGTAAACTTCCGGGCCGCATTATCGCCGGCCAGGGAAAGTCAATTAAGCAGTCCCGGGCGAGTAATTCGTTCCGCGGAATTACATAATAGAATAACACCTTAATCCACGACAGTAACCGGCCTGACCTATCTCAACGCTGGCAGAAGAGTCTCGAAATTCCTTGGTGAAGAGCACGCGACACCTCGATCCACATAATTCCCATTCCAGTCGGTTTTCCAGCCGCATTCGCGGTGGTTGGTCGGTCCGGGGCCGGTTCTTTCGCGGTCGCATCCCTTCGCTCTCTTCCTCCTCTTCCTCTTCCTCCTCCTCACCTCCTCTTCGTCTTCTTCTGTCTCTGCTTCTGCTGCTGCTGCTGCATCTTCTTCACTCCATTCCCCGGGTTCGTTTTCTGTTTCAGTACTGAAATGTCTGCGGCTCTCGTCGGACCCCGTCACCCTGAAGCTACGAAGGGGTAAGTGAAGTGCGCCAGCAAATTCTTTTATTCGCGTAAAGACCGGCATTGAGCCGCCCACGCGACTCGCCCGCTCGTCAGCCCTACAGGCCGGCTAAAAATAATCCCGTCAACTCCATTACGCGATGCGTCCCTTGTCTACCGTCGAACCGACGACGACACCTTTCGACGAGCCATTAACCCCCCGCCGACGCCGGCGAGCCGTCCTCCTCTCGTCCTCGTTCTCCTTTATTTTTCGACGGAAACAAATTTTTCCTCGTCGCACACATTTTCAGTACCGGCTCGCCGAGACGAGATTTCTTTACCGTTTCGCATAAAAGCCTCTGTCGCGTAATCTTTCGCGCGACTTTTACGAAATCACCGGTTACCTTTTTTTTTTGTAGTTTCACGGAGATTGGAATCGTGAGCGAATATTATCGAAATTATTGTACCGCGGCAGAGGTTTGCGACGCGTTCTCGTCACTTTTTGATCGTCCTATATGGCGAGGCCTCGCGTGTCGGAGGGGTGCTTTCATACTTTTTAATCCATCGGGGGCTGATCTCCAAGTACAGGCGTTAACGTCCGCTGTTCAATGTTGCCCGCAGTAGGCGAAGCTAATTTTCTTCGAATTTCGTCCTAAAAGGTTTACCAAAATTTTCAAACGCGCCAGCTGCAACGCGTGTTCGTCGCGAATTGTTTCCCTGCTCGATCTTCGTAAAATGACACCATTTTATAAAACAGTATAGCTTCTTAGACAATGCATAATTAATTAGAAACGACGAATATAGAACTTTAATGCGCGAAATAATATTATTAATTAATATTATTATTATTATTATTATTATTATTATTATTATTGTATATTTCAATATAGGGATTTCGCTGGGATTCGAAGAAACGCTTTTTAAGATTCGAAGATTCGCTGTGTTATTATTATATATTATTATTATTATATATATATATACGCCAGCGACGCGTTTTATAAAACATTAAATCCAGAGATTTCGCTGGGATTCGAAGAAACGCTTTTTAAGATTCGAAGATTCGCTGTATTATTATTATATATTATTATTAT